TTTTTTTTTCAAAGTACAGGATGTTAATTGCCAAAGTTATGTTGAAATTGTGAGCAAATTAATTTGTTGGCTTGAAGTGTGCTATTTGTTTAAAACACCAGAAAGGCTACATAAGCTGCATCTGTCCCTTACAGTGTAGAAACAAATCTTTGCAAAGAAGAATTGAGAACTGTATAAATGATTATTGGAAGAGAACTTCCTATGAGGAAGTAGGTTAAATATTTTTTTCAGAGTTATATGCTATGATAAAAAAATTAGTTTGTGCCAAATGTCTGTGCATTAGATTTTATTTCTAAATCTTGCTTGGGAAATAGTAGATGGAAAATTGTGTAGTTCTGGTTGCCCTCAGTTCTTTAATTGCATTCTAATAAATCAGAAAACAGCAAATATCGATTGTTCTATACTATGTCTGTAAAAAAAGACAACAGAGGAGTTTGCCTGTTAGGTATTCCTGTGTGCTTTCCATTCGTTCTGTACATTAATCCAACCATTGTCTGTTCTTCAGCAGCCTTTATGAAAAGCTGTTTTCTGCTGTGTGCTCCTGAACCCCTATACATGTGAACTATTTTGCAGAAAGATGTGACCCCAGAGTGCTCCTGCTCATAGTAGTCAGGAAGCTGGCATGCCTGAAGAGCAGAACATGTGTGCTCCTCTGTTGCTGTTCAGTTCTCCGAAATAGAAACCAGGCTTACTGAAGTACAGGGGGTTGAGAAGCATCTGTAAGTTGGTGTGTTTGGGTCAGTTGATACTGGATTTGGCTGCAGCAGCAAAGCCTATGGGACTCCAGGTGAATCATGTTTCCTGGAAACTGAGGTGTATGTTGAAAGTTATTTTTGAGATTATTTATCTGAATGTAAAGGAGTATATGACACCAACTAGGGACTTACAGTAGTAGGGGTGACAGAGGCTGCAGTTTTAAGTCTACTGAAATTTAGATTTTTTTTTTTTTTTGGCTGATGTGGTCTGCTTGAATGCTCCAACTGGCGTGTGAGTAACTTGATGCCTTGTGTATAAGGCACACAGGGGCAAGAGCAGCCTGCGAGAGTACCCAAAAGTGTTTGCAATTAGATCTGAGTACCTTGATGGTCTTGAGAAAAAACATGTACTGAAGTTACTCCCCTGAATATAAGGGGAGCAGGCATTGCTAATTTAACTCTTAGCTCCAACTGTTCATGAAAACTGCATGACTATTTTGTAACTGTGGATGAACCCCAGTATGATAAAGCTTTAAGACAATTGGCAGTCACAGAATAGGATGAAATTAGCAGCCTTTTCATACTGTTCTGGTGATGGATGCTAACTGGACTGTGGTGTTGGTGGGCCCCATCTCTAAACTGGGACTTAGTTATTACTTTCTGTCAGGCTTTGCCACTAGTGTCTCTTGCTGTATAAATAGGAAGAGGTTAGTGAAGCAAAACCACTTGCAGTGCTCACAGGGAATCTTGTTGCTGTGATATATCTGAAGATGAGCAGATCCAGTATGAAGGGAAAGCATTTTCCCTGTATATCTATTGCTGGCCATAGCAGGTATAGCTTTGTGGACTTGAAAACAGGAATATAAGTGGCCTTTTACAGAGCAAGTGATGTGTATGTGTATCACAGAAAGTGGGGAGTAAGACTTTTTAACAGAGGTTTATGTATCGTACTTAAGTGCATTGAAATGATAATGTGTTATAAATTGTTTATGACTAGATTTGGTCTAAGTAAAGGAACTGGTACTAAAGGTGTTACTTTCTGCAGCTAATTATTTGAGAGTCATTGCTAATCAATTTTTCTGCTGGTCCTGTTGGGAATAAGGTACAGCTGCCTCGATACAGCTATGATCTGTAGATTGCTTGCTGCAGACATGTCTGGTTTTGCCCCTTGTGTTGAGGGCAGTGATAATGTGTGAATTTATCCACTATTGTATCAGCATTGGCTCTTACCTTATTGGCTGGAGCTTCTTTGGCAATATCTTGGATCAGCTGACTACAAAATTGATTATGGCCTAAAGGTAAAGGAGCTGATCACTTCAGTGTGATTCAGCTCCTTTTGTGAGCAGGCTTGCACTCATCTCTTCAAAAATTTAGTGCTTGACTTAAGCATCCATAAATGACAAATAAAGGCTCTTGGTGGAGAAGGGATATAGCATAAAATGAACAGAAGAAAATACAACAGGCAGGCAAAATAAGAATGGCAGCTGAAGAAGGCTGAAAAGTGAAAGAGGACAGTGGTTGAAGCCTAGCTTTTAAGAGTGATTTTAAACCAGATACAATTGCCTTAGTCAAATAGCTGTGAGAGTTGTTGTAGAGCTTACATAAGCAGGGAATGATGATGTCTGTGTTCTTTTTTTGGGAGGGCAGGTAGAAGAGGGGTTTAATTTCTTTGCTTTACCTATCCCTGTCTTTCCTTGCTTTGTAAAAGATTAGAGCTTTAATTTCAGATCCTGCAGGTATCTCTGTGGGTGGATTCTTACACCTCCAAAACCTCTTTGCAGGGTGTTTGTTGAACATATGATATGGCATTGCTGCTTTGTCAGTATCCTTTTGTACTATATGCTAAAGCATACTCTGTAGAATGCTAAAAATACTGTCCCACTCCTGCCCTTCCCTTCTTGAAAGAAAACTGCAAATGCAGAAAGAAGTGCAGTTAGAGCTGTGCACCTCACTGAAAGGTTAAAGTTACAAATAAGTCAACCAGGACTTCAAGGTTAAAATTCTTTTTTACCCCTTTTGGTCATCTGATGGTCTTCATTTATGCTAAAATGCATTTGAAATGTATTTGGTACCCTCAAACTAGTGATATGACTGATACTGTCTATGTTATGCCTAAACAGCACAAGTTGAAGCACAGTCCTAAAAAAAGACAGAACAACTTCTTCCCACCCCAAAAAAAACCCTCAGAAATTTTTCCTATACGTATTTTCTGAATGCTGTTTGTGTGGAGGCACAAAGGGAGTATTTTGAAGAAACAGAAGAAAATATTGACCAAGTCAAAGATCTGTATTGAAGAATGGATTAAATAAATGTTTGTGAGTCATAAGAACCAAACAACAAAAATATTTTTCTTTCCAGAAACATGCCATCCTATTTTGATCATCAACAATAAAGCTGAAAACAACAATGGAGCTATTGAATCTGGAATGCCAATTGCTATCCAAGAAAAATGACAGTATAACTAAATAATGCAAATGTCTTTGGAAAAATAAAAAGTACTTTAATTATCTGGAATGTTAAAATTCCAAAGATGTTCTGAACTCAAAGGTAATTTTTTGAAACTTAAATTCCAAAATAAGAAAATAAGTTCTCTTGTCCAAATATGAATGTGATAAGTAACTTCCTATTAAAACTTAGGGACTTTTAATAGAAACTTCAAGTCTTAATAGAAATTGAATTGCTTCAATTTAACACCACAGGATAGACACTGAGATGTTTCATAGATTCTCAAAATACTGTTATTAAGCTTGACATGCTGGAGAGTATCATGTGTTAGGTAGAATCAAGACTGAATCCCAAAGGTATATCCTTAAACTGTATAATCAGATTCCCATTTCAAATGTCACTTTTGTCCTTCAAAGAATAGGTGCTTGTTTCAGTGATGATTTGTCATTAAAATTATGTCAAAACGTCTTAAAATGTTGTTGAAACTCTAAACAAACTCACAGCACACACAGGGCTAATTATGGGTGCCATCTGTTTATTTTTACAAAGCTTTTTTTTCCTTAAAGACCAAAGCATCTTCTTCTTCTGATAACCCACAAATATTATTATAGTGACTAAATGTTTTTCTTAATACTAGTATACTTGAAGGAATAAAGACAAGTCGTTTGGTCAGTGACCTTTTCCCATGTCAGAAAATGTACATAGCCTGACATGTCATGATAGAGAAACAATTGTCAAATGAGTTTTCTTAGGGTATTTTGGCCCTTGGAGCATGAAGATAATAAAAATGGCAATTCTGTCATAATTTCTATACAGAAAGTCTCAGACCTCTCTCTGTGTGCAAAGAACATGTGTTTAGTGTGTTTGGTCTATGTGGTGTGCCCTTCTAGCTTTGGGTGCTTTTTTATCATCCTGTGCCTAGTTAAAGGTTTTTGGAAGTTTTGTCAAAGCTCTTCATTTATATCCCATCTGAAGGAAGAAGTGTGTGTGCATATGTGTGCGCATGTGTGCGTGCTTGTACGCACATCCCGGCGAGCGACGGCAATTCCCAGGGCAGCATCGCCCAGAGCCGTTAGCGGCAATTTGCTGGGAGCGCAGAGCGGCTCTGCTGGTCCAGCCCAGCTATTGTGCATGCTAAGCACTAAACAGATAAGTCTGGAGGGGGAAAAAAATTGAAGGATCCATCTGCTCATTTCTGCTACACTGCGCTGATGCAAGATTACGCTAATCTGGTCGCTTGTCAGGACAGGTTAGTGAAAGCAGGCGAATGGGTGAGATTTAGGGTAGGCTACTTCTATGGAAAATTGTAAGCGGCTCCTGTATGTGCCATGTTAAGTGTAGCAGAATGGGTTGATTATCAGCTACTTTGAGAGTTTCAGTTAAAATATATTCATGGCTACAGTGTGAGTCTCTTCAAAACAAAATCGAATGGGAAAAGCTTCCGAAGAAAGAAAAATGAACTCGGCGTCACCAGACGCGTTTGAATTTGTAAAATAAATGAAAAAACACCCAAACAAAACAAAAAACCCCTGCAAATCCCTAGACCCTCCTAAGTGACCTCTCTAGTTTTCCCTTTTTTATGCTGCTTCTAGTTATTATAATCTGCTAATTATTTTATCTGTCTGGATTTTCCCTGCAAAGATGGTGGTTGCTGGAGTTTAAGTAGAAATTTTTGGAGAAAAAAGCCAAAATAGAAACACATTCTTTGTCTGTTCTTTGGCTGGTCAAATATCTTGTTTATATGTGTTTGTTTACAGAGGCTTTTTTTTTTTTTTTTTTTTTTTTTTTTTTTTTTTTTTTTTTTTTTTTTTTGTATGGTTGTTTTTGTTACCTACTGACTGACAGTTCCTGACCTTGCAGGTTGAACATCCCGTCACAGAATGCATTACCGGCCTGGACTTAGTCCAAGAAATGATCCGTGTTGCTAAGGGTTACCCTCTCAGGCACAAACAGGCTGATATTCCCATCAATGGTTGGGCGGTCGAATGTCGAGTTTATGCTGAGGTAAATGAGTGGTAATGGGGAGGAGGGTAGGTGGTTGAATTGTGGCGTAATAATACCCAGGTGTGGAGAGATGCCAAGGTGAAGTCAAGGAATATCATGTGAAAGTCATGATTGAGGCTATGTGACATGAATGATGAGGTTTTGTAGAATCGTAGTGTTCTTATTCTTTAGTTAAAAATGTGATGTGTATTTCAACATAGCTTTTTTTCCCTGACAATTGAAATTAAAAATGGTAAAAGCAAATGCCATTAGAAATAAACCTGTATCTTCCTTTCCCATTCATTGATGCATCACTGGAGTTATTTGCTGCATTTAACTAGTGTTTCCAGGTTTCTGAAATTTATGTACTTGAAATTTGTTGATTTAAAAAGACAGCTGAAATACAATGTCTTACAGAATTTTTGTTGTTTTTCTAAAACATTTTAATAGGTTGTTGAAAAAGCAAGTTAAGTATCTTCTGAAACTGCAGTTTATAGGACAAACTTTTGAAGTACATTCCAAAATTTTAACTTTGTAATTATGGTATGATACTCTATCTCACCTTAAAGCTTACAAAAATTTAAACCCCATTTTCAAGCATGTTTAGGACATTTCAGGGTAATGTCTTTTTGCTGTCATTTCTCACACATGAAAATCAAGATTTGTTAAGTAAAAAAATCACTCACACGATGGTTTAGATTGGAAAGGACCTTAAAGATCATCTAGCTCCAGCCCCTTGCTGTGGGCAGGGAACCTTCCACTGGACCAGGTTACTCAGAGCCCTGTGCAGCTTGGCCTTGAACCCTTTCATGGATGGGGCCTGAAAAATGGTGCCTAGCTTCCTTCATTTTGTTTCAGAATTATTTTGGGTAACTCAGCTTTTCAAAAATAATTCAGCAGGTTGAGATGTTCTTTCATTGTTTAACTATTGTGACTTTTCTGACATAGAGCATCTTACTTTATGTTGGGTTTTTTCCTTCCCTTTGTGACATGCACATAATCTTCAATTTGTTTTACTGTTTGCAAGTTGTATGAACTATTTTGATAAAGAATAAATATTTGCCCTGTGATTGACTTGGAAGCTATTCTAGTACAAGTAGGCTTTACCCTGGTATAATTGTTCAGCTTAAATCCCCTCACGTTTGTAAGTAATGAACCCAACCACTTTGCCATGAATTTGGTTGTTCTGTAGGCCACGTTTATTTGTTGCCCTGTTAAGTTTATATTGATGTTGCATTATATTGGAGATTTCAAAAGGCATAAAGATCCATTTGATTTTTTTTTTAAGATAATTGAATTTCTAACTGCCCTTTTTATCTCTGAAATTTTTCTTCTACTCTCTTCTCAACCCCAACCTTCTGTATACTTTCCCATCCTTCTTTCAAGGCACAATGTAGCTAATGAAAATGTAATCTTTGCATATTTTGGTGGTGTACTGTAACTGTGTGCAGAGCACTTCATTCCTACTTTTTGACTGATGGAAGAGGATTTATATGCTTCCATTTCTTTATTTGGAGTTGCAGGGACAGATGGATGCAGAAATGTTCTTCAATGAGAGTAATTCTGGGGAAGAAAACAAAGTCATTCCAGTAGCAGTTTCTGTTAGACTTCAAGATTTTTAGCATGATCTTCTCCACATCTATAAAAACTTGATGCTTTCTCATGTTGAATTTTATTTCAGGACCCCTACAAATCTTTTGGCCTACCTTCCATTGGTAAACTGTCTCAGTATCAGGAACCATTGCACGTGCCAAGTGTAAGTAAGTTGACTCTGGTTTTCATAGGTGCTGAGTGTCCCTCTTAGATATTATAAATACTCAGCAGCTTTGTAAATCAGGCCTTTTTTTCCCAGGTTTTTACTGGAGGGGGGACAGGACATGGCAATACTGATTTGTACAACCTGAAAAACTCCTTAAAAAATGTGCAGTTCCAAACTGGGTTAAAAATGTTCAAAATGGTTATAAAAGGAAACCATTATATGTTGAAATATTTTGTTCTATGACTTTCAGCTTAAGTTTTTCAAACACAGCTTTAGTAAAAATACCGTGGTCATTAGAAAGGACAATGAAATGTTGAGTCAGCTCTTTAAGCACAGAGAACTGGGGACACCAGCGAGAAACTGCCAGTGCTTTTTTGTTTAGCTTTGTAGACTTTAAAGAGGAGTTTCTTGCAGTGATTATTACATGTCTCACAATACAGTCTAACTAGGTGGAATGGCTGTTTAACAAACGTTTTCTGCTATGTGTAAAGAACAAGGACACCTCTTTGCTGTAAAATCAAGGTAGCCTAAGTTATAAGTGCACATGTACATGACACTGTGTCAGTTAGTGGAATGATGAGGCTGTACCATCTGTGAATACAATTATTCAGTCTGATTGCTTGCACGGAAAATAGTGAAAGATTACAGGAGGAATCTGAAATGTGGAGATGTTATTGGATATATGATTTATTTCGCTTCTTAAATTGTTCTTGCCCATGTACTTTCCGAAGGGACCTGACCCTTTCTGGTCTTTAAGGCTTCATGCTGTGTTCAAAGCCTGAAAGCAGAAAAAAATTGTGAAGATCTAAAAGGCATTATGTGCTCTTAAAGTGGAGATGAGGGAAAAAGGTATCTTTGGATGTATCTAAACTTTTTCTTAATGAAACAAAGAGTGTATTTAATAAGAATTAGTAATGAATACTCCAGTGGTTGTTAGAAGTTTTCACCATGTTGTAATAGCTAACAGGATGTCAAACATTTTGCCCTTGCAAGTTTTTGCAATTTGCAATTTTCCAAACGTGAGACCTGTTGAAAGTACAAGTGATAATGGACAAACTATACCCCCTACAGTCTTTGTCCCACCAAATCTTTCTTCAATTAATGCTGCAGCAGGAGTTTTATGTAATAACATTTGCACTCGTGAGCCATCCATACAAAGAAAAAACAATTAAAATGCCTTAAATGTTCTGCTTACTGCTGTTATTTGCTTGTGTGAATGTTGCATGTCAGCTAAATGGACCACGGAATAGATAAAGTGATTGGGTGTAGGAGAGTGCACACTAAGCTTTGTCTATCATTATTGCTGGGAGCAATCAAATTGATGCCAGCAGGACAGTAGACGCGTTGACAGCTGTAATTATGTATCTCCATGGTGATCACTTTTGGCCTGTCATGGAGGCCCATGAGTCCCCTCCCTTGCAAGCATTTAATCAGATTGGGCTGTCACTTGTCAGGTAGACAGGGTGGGCTGGGAGTTGTGCTTAGGGGGAGAGGTGAATTGAAAATGAAGGGTGGGAGATGCCTGATTGCTTCACGTGGTCCGTCGTGGTACCAAAGAAAGAGATTTTAATTATACCGGAGGCTTCAGAGCAATGGTTTGAGGAGCTCATATGGAGTGTCTAGGCTGTTCTCTTTCTGTTTACTTCTGCTGTTGTCTTAAAAATAGAATAGCTATTTTTGTGTAGGCACTCATGATTTGGTGTCTTAATACATATATTTCTGCCACCGTGAAACTAATTTCTCTCCTGAGAATGTCATGCTGCTAAGAACAAAATTAATATGACTCGAAAAGTTCAGCATTACAGGCCCATTGTGCCATGGTGTTTGTTTTCTGCATTTTCAGATTTTAGAATTGTCAACAAGTTGGCTTAAGAAAAATTAGTGGAGGCTTGTAGTGTGTCACAGCGAGTTTGGCTTATGAGCAGTGTACTTCCAAGTGTATTTGCAATTAGTTTCTTCTGTGTATTAAGTTGGCTCTGATTGTCTACCTGTGCCTGTGTGTCAGCTGCTCGTGCTGGTGGAACTGGTGTGTATGGCTGTGTCAGGGCTTTTGCTTAGCCATAGAGAGGAATATGCTGGCTCTTTGCATCACGTAGTCTGTAATTTCCTTAGAATATGGTAAACAAAATTACCAATTTTTTTCATCTCTGATAATGAAGCTTAAGATAAAAAGAAACCCCTGTACTATGATAGTGAGCTTTCATGTTCAGTGCTCCCACACAACGTGTACTGGTGTATCTGGGGAGCCCTAGCATCGCTCTTGGCCAATGTGATCAGCAGTTTGCTGGTGTAATGGCTTAGCAGAAAAAGTCTTAGATATAGCAAAGAATTGAGAAATACTAGAATTTGTATGTGTTCCTAAGTGGAATTTGATGCACTAATAGTTCATTGTGGGTCTGAGAAATAGATTATACTTCTTTTTTCATTCTTCTTAATCTTTTTTATCTTTCATTTTATGCAAGGGTAGTACAACAGCAAGAAAGTGTTGGGGCTGTAAGATGAGTGAGTGGTAGGGTACAGCAGGGTCTTGAACCCTAACCTCTCCTTGCTATGTTAGATACTGAGTAAAAGAAGGGAAACACTGTAAGGAGAAGTAAATGCTCGAGGTCTAATAAGAATTGCTATTATTTATCAAGTTCAGCACATTATAGCAAGTATCTGTTGAATTAGGGTTTCTTTTTCATCCAATATTCATTAAGTTCTGTCACACCATATAGTTTATAAAATCACCTACTGTTACCAGGCTCTGAAAATGTAAGCACCACAGGGAGAATTGAAGATAGTAAATGTATTTCTTTTCTACTGTCATTTTTTCAGTCATCTTGAATTTATTTTATGAAAATTAAACTTCTACAGAGGACTCTAGATTTTTAAAAAGGAAATTATGCAGTAGTTTCTAAAGGATTTTAAAATCTCACCGTAGTCTTTTCAATTTTTTAGGCCATTGTACTTGGGGAAAAAGTGTGTAGTGGTATGTACGTGTATTGTATGTGAACAGAAATGTAGAGCCAAGCAGAGCATATAGTTGGCAGTCTCAGAAATCTTAGGTGAAGGTCTAACCAACCTGCTTACTGAGGGTCCAAATTATACACCTTTCACATTTTTCTTTGTCAAAAGATGATATACATGTGTCAATACTTACATGCACATATAAGTGCATATGTAAAGCACCCTTGAACACTGGTGTGTAATGACTTTGTAAGTGCTCCTTTGGAGACAAAAGTCACAGGAGAGTTCAAGTACATGCGGTGTACGTATGTTATACCTTCACATCTTACGTATGCATATATATTGAGTATTAAAAAAAATACTATGGGCAAAGGGGTTTATCTGGAACTGAGTAGCTAAATGAATTCTTTGCCTTGAATGTGAGAACATAAGCATTGACTTTGTACATAGGCAGGTGTTCTGGGAGGAAGGTTGGTTTAGCACTCGGAAGAAAGGAAGCTGAGAAATACAGTGTATGTTTTTCCTGTAGTCGTGACATGTCTGAACTACCTTCTCATCAGTAGCTAACATTAAATGTACCTGATATGGGTAGTGGGGAGTCCAGTTAAGCATAGAAAAAGCACATTCGGATAAGATGTGATAAGAGCAGTACAGAAGTGATACTGCCTTTACATATGGGTAAATATGCTATGCAAATAAGCATAACTATAGAAGAAATAATATATAAATATGTAGATAT